CTCTGATAGCGACAGCCAGCTCTCCATTTTTAAGCGGCCAGGTCTCGGCAAGATTGTATTTGGAAGGAATTTGACTGCAGATGTAAATCCTGGAAATGTGTCTTCCGAAAAAGAAGGTATAAATTTTAAAATGCCCAGTGAGCTCTTTAAGTATGAAAATTCTGAGAATGGAAGGGAAGAGGATGCTGAAAACGGTGCTGATATCCCTTGGTATGAGGAAGAAGTCATTTGGGATGATGATGAAGTAGAGAACACGCCCCTTGAGGTATTTCTAGCATCACAGATGCTGGATGAGTTTCTTCCAGTCTTCATGAGGGAAAAGATTGATTTAGATGCCCTGATGCTATGTTCTGATGAAGATCTACAAAGCATTCAGATGGAGCTTGGGCCAAGAAAGAAAGTCCTGAATGCCGTGAATAAAAGAAAACAAGCACTCAAGGACCCTGGAAAGACTGTAGATACTCGCTTATAAATTATCGTACCTGTTGCTGTTGCCTGCACACTGATTCATTCTTTTCCTCTTTTGAAAGAGCACACAATTCTTTTCAGAGGTATGCTAAAGCAAAAGGCAGAGAGGCTACCATTTGCTATAGAAAGTACAGTAAGAACAAAGATTTTTCTCTCTGGATAGATGGCTGTGGTGCACAGAATATTAATTCAAGCATATTCTGCCAAAAAGAAAGACTGTGAAGGTAAAAAACCTCAAAGCTACAGATTTAAACCTTTTTCTCCCTGAGCTGTTTATGGGGATTGGATTTCTTCTCATTGGAATAACTTAAAATATTAGAGAAGACCAGCCATACTACATTCCTTAATAAAGCCCTGCCTTTCTTCTCCAAAACCACAATTTTCTCCATTTGCTTCTGTTAGATTGCTATAAACCACCCCTCCTGGTACTGATATTTTAGAAAGAGCATCTGAATCTTGATTTCAGCTCTGGCTTATTGACTGTAATAACCTCTGAATGAACATAAGTAAAACTAATTTACAGCAAGTTTTGTGTTCAAACACATAAACTGTTTTGCTACTGTATTGATATTAATTTAAAATATATGAAGTACCTTGCCAAGACATGTTCCATGTGAGTGGTATATTCTTTTCTCTTGCCTCATTAGACTGGACCCAGTTGCCAGCACCCATCCTGTCCCAACTGGCATCAAGGACCGCAATACTTTTAACTACAAGAAGCTGAGGGTTTATTTTCATCATTTTTTACCTGTTTTGGTATATCCTAAGCTTGGTTGCTACAGGGTGCATGTGAAGTCCCAGAAACCAGGGCTCTTATCATCCAGCATTTTCTGTTGGTTATTGTCAGCCTCAGCCTGAAAACTGCATGTAACACCCCCCCAGCTCATGAAAAGAGAAAGAAAGAAAGACCGTGCTTCTGCGGAAGCTCCTGTGCTTTACAGTCGATCTGGAGGCATTCAAGGCAGGGTTCCCTTCATCTCTCTCAGGCCTGTTCCCTTGGGAAGGCAGCACTATCTGGTATGAATTAATTACTCCTGTTGAGTTTTGTGAACCTGGTAAGGTGCTTGTAGCAGTCTTGCTCTGCCTAAGACCTCAGATTGCAGAGGCACAATTATTAGCAGGACTTTTGTCTTTAAATCTCTTTTTATAGCTTTCCATTAGTCAACTATAACTTTTTTTCCTTAGGGTTATACTGCATTTGTGGATGCTAATCCTAGTTAATAATCTATTTTGTCACACTTCCTTCTTTCTGCATCATCTTCTTGTTACTTCAATTTGTCTATTTAAATTCCTTTTCTTGGCTGGACTTTATACTGCATTCTTTCCCCCTTGAATTCCTGTACTTCAGCAGGCTGATATTTTCTTCTATTAAGCAGTCACATCAGAGTCCTGTTCCGCGCAACCTTAAATGACTGCTGTGCTTTGCACAGTAATGAAATCAGATAGCACCCCCCCAGACTCTGTGTTATTAACCTGCCCGGTTGTTTTCATTTTGGCTAAGAAACTCCCAAATGTTTAACAAAGTGAGAAGGAAATGATGAAACTTACATACTTGAAGGCATACAATGAGGGGAGTTTGAAGGGTCAAATCCTATCATTCTTGTCACATAACTGATCTATTCACTGGTTCTTTACCTGCCAAAATGCTTGTGACCTGCTCACAACATACCATCAAAACATCAGCGAGCGGTGTCACTCACGGAGGACCTGTCCACTGACTGCCAGTATCAGAACAGCTTCAGCAGCTCTGTGATGCCCTTTTAAAATACATTTTAAAAAAAGAATAATAGCGCAACAGTGCTAGTCTTTTTCTTGCATGGAGGTCCTGGAAATTGGCCTCTAGTATAAAGCAGCCATGTGGAAAAACTGGGGGGGAAGGATAAAAAGGAACACTCACATTTCAGTTTTTTCCACTTACGTGCTTTTCTGTTTGCAAATTTTTTTCACCAACCCCTCTGTTTCTTTTATAATTTTAAGTATTTAATGAATCCCAGATCTGACTCCTTAATAACATTTGTACAGCGCAGTTCAGTTGGGAGACATTTTATACATCACATGTGCAATCTTAGAGCCCAATCCAAACCCAAATCATACAACCATGGGATCTCACATGATCACAGCCCTGTCAAGTACAAAGTTCTCCTTCCTTAAGGATTTCATACTCTGCACTGAACAGGCATCAAGAGGAGGGAATGCGTAGCATGGGATGATGACTGCAAAACCAAGTATCACAGTGGAGCAGAGCAGTCCCAATTTATTTTTCACTTTACATTCAGCGATCGCATTTACTGAGAGAGTAGTCACTGCAACAACTCAAATACCTTCTCCCTCATCTTCAAAAAGACCCCACTCAAACCAGAAATAACGGACAAGACAAAAGGCAAAGGAAAACAGCAGTATCTATTTAATTTTAACATAAATGCAAGTTACACAATTTCTTGAGACTCTGATTTGTAAGAGAAGGAAACATGGAAATTAAGGCTATTATTTCTCCTCAAAAAAAAAAAAATAAAAAATCTAAAGACAGCATCCAAGCAACTCCCACTGTAACTGAATTGAGTCCTCTCATGAATTCAGAGGTACAATGCCCAAGCCAGGCTCCCAGAACCTCCGCTTGCCAATGAAAGTCAAGAACACCGTGGGTTTTCAGAACCAGGTTTTTGGACTAGTTCCATCTACTTTTAAAGTGCGTAGTCTGTAGAAGAATACATGTCAAAATAAACTGTATTTGTCTTCTTCCCAAACACTATGTCTCATTTCAAATCGTAAACTTTGTTTTACACAGGCACAGAACTGGGATAATATTGTCATTGTGGACAATATTGTCATAAATAGTAAGTACAAGTTTCCATACAGTTCTTGAATTATGGAACATCAATGGCTGTCACATTTGCCTCACACTAGTAGAGCTCTCCATTGCTGAAGTAACAAGCTAAGTCAACACTTCAGAAATGACACAGAAGAAAAAACACGTGTAAAAATAGAAGAGTAATTTTGCTGCAATTAAAAAATGCGAAAGCTTATAGAGAAATTTCTGTTCTTGTTTCTGCTGATATAAACAAGGTCAATGAGCTAGACTTCCATCCACACAAACACATCCTTTGGCCCTATTCACTTACTGCTCTGGTACCCTTCCATGCTAAAATTTTGCAAATGACAGACTCTGCCACTTACTACTTTTTTTTCCAACTAGTTTACACCAGGCTTATAACTTGGAGTATTATTTACATCACACCTGCACTATACTCATTAACCTCTTCTATACTTACTTATGCACCATCAAGGGCTTTAATGCTAACTGCTTCTGAACCTCCTTCCTGTTGCTCTGCCGTATTCTGTCAATATAGAATGACCATGTTATCTAATCCTTCCACAGAGTGAGAAACACTTAATAGCCTGCAGGAAATAATACGTAAGCAGAAATAAAATTTCGTAACACACAACTCTAGCCCTAGACAGGAATTTGTTTCCAGGGCAATAGCTATTTTTCAGCAGATGCTCAGTCTATTGTAAGGCAGTTGCATAACAGCACAAAACTGGAACTTCTCCTTATGTAGAACATCACTGGGTTCCTCCGCCAAGAAAGGATCATGGAAATTCCTGCCCCAGCAAATACCCACTGGGATAAAAGAATAATTACCAACTGATGAATAGTACAGCCAAGGTGAAAATATTTGCATGTATACTTGAAGTTTATCTGACTCAAATAAATTTGCACAGTTCCAATTTTCAAGAAGCTTAGAAAAATAAGTTACAAAGACCATAGATTAATAAAAAAACCTCCCTACAGAATATAGATAAAAGTTAAATCAAAACACATTTTTAGTACTCACATTTTGGGTGACTTCTTGCAGTATAAAAAATGGCGATATCCCAGTCAGGAATGTACTAAGGGAGGTATCGAGTATAGTTTCCTCCCAGTTAAAATGTACATAATATTAGTTCTGATTTTTTGCACTCTTTAAGCCTTTCTGAGCCACGTCTTTTACAAAAACAGACAGAAATCTAACTGTATGGAGGCATCATTATTTATATAAACTCCCACTCAGGAGTGTGCTTTTAAATGAAAAATCATTGGGTCTGAGGGCAAAGAAGAGGGATTGGGGGGGGTGTGTGAAAGTAAGCATGGTGACTTCCAGATGCCAGTCTGAGCTGGAAGGGAAGGGGCGTCCAGGAGTCAGGGCAGGCTCTGTTCCCAGGAGAGACTGAAGGCTAGGTTACTGTCAGTGTAGCACTGAAACCCACAGTTGTGTTTAATTTACCTTCACAGGTAAATATGGTGTCAGAGTCCATTCTCCAAACTGACATATTTTACTCCAGTATGAATTACCCCTCTAAAAAAATAAAATAGACCCACAGATTTCTGCTACATAAATAATTAGGGAGGAAGGCATTGATTCCAGAATTATACCAAAAAATGTAAAAATACCCTTGTTAGTATCACTGCAAACATCTAATACTTGGCGTTACATGAGATAGATTTATTAGTAATACTGCATGTATCTAATACTTGCCATTAGAAACCCGTAGAAACTAGTCTATTGCTGAAATTTTACTTTTCATTTTTGAATGTTCTAGAAGGGCAACATTCAGATAGGATGCCTTGTTAACAAGAGATCCAAGGAGACTAAGTGCAAACATTTTTCTTGGCCTTGTTGGCACTGTAGACTTCTCTCTTTAGTTACTAGCTGACCATGCGTCATAAACAAATTTTGCTGCTACTGTATCTTCAACCGCCATCCCTGAAAAAGAATTAAAGTCACCTTCAAACAGTTCTTCAGCTGCACAAAATAATTTAGCTTCAGAAGGGAACAGAATAACTCAGGAAATTATCTAACTGGACAAGAACAGAAATCATTCCCCATCCCAAACACCTACAGCATTACATTCAAAGTTTATAGCCATCATGTAACTATTAGGGGTGCTATACGAAGCTAATGTAATACTATGAACCTAATTTTCAGTGTTCATATAACAACTTTCAGACCTGTTTCCCCCAAACGTCAACTCCAACCCCACAGCACACTGCCACACTGTACGTAGGTCAGACAGACTTCAGGGGCATAACAGCAGGGCATTTGGGTTGGAGCTGTATTAATAAATGCTGCAGTCATGTGTTGAACAATTGAGAAATAGAAAATGCACTTCTTCCTATTGTCTGTTTGCTTTCCCATCACTTCTCATTACATCAGTCCTGCTAGATAAATAAAAAGGGGAATAAAAAGGTAAAATGCAAATCACATTCTAGTTTCTTCCGGACAGTGCATTGCCACAGCAGTTTTGAAGATGATCAGCAGCTTTCCCACGCATGGGGGACCTAATAAATAACAAGGCATTGTTTTCTGTCAGACTTGTACACAGGAGGGGTTGTTCTTACCCAGTGATTTAAACACTGTTGTTTTCTCAGGCAGGGCTGGTTTTGTACCATTCACTACCTCTCCCAGCTCAGCAAAAATCTCTGCCTGTAAAACAAATACATATTTATACAAAAACCGTAACGTTCATACAGACATTTAGAGAAAAACTTTTTCTTCTGAGTGACTTCAAAAGGAAGAACTCTTCCAGTTCTGCTATCCCAGAACGATTCCTTTCCATGCTGAAGCAGATCAGTATTCAGACAAGTAACACAGAAACTGGACAGAAATCAGAAGAGTGGAATGGTTTTCAGAGACAAACAGCTGACAGACTTTCCTCAGTCAGTAAATGACAGCGGATAGCTTGTTACTTATCCAACAGAACACATGGGGTTCCACACACCTTACCATATCTGGACCTCCTATATTAAACCTCAAAAGTGGAAACCATATTTGTTCTGCAAAAAAGTTAAGAGAAAAGAACCCAAACCCTCCATTGAACCTAAGAGTCCCTGACGTCAAATTTCTGCAGACTAACTGTCTGTTTGGCTTCTGTTGTCCATTCTGTAGAGGTCTGATGCATGTCAATCACAGCAAAATATTATGGGAAGAAAGTTACAGGTTTTAACAAATAGATTCGAAAAATATTTAACATAACTACCAAACAGTGCAGAAAATGTAGACCTTTCAAAACCAATACTTTGTTATCATACACAAAAGCCAACACTGAAAACATGGTACTGTAATATGGTGCCACGTAATAGTTGATATGGAGGTTGCATGGTTCTGGCATAGGCATATAGAAGCCTCAGTGTGAAACCAGCTTATCTTTCAGCCTATGTCTGGAAAGCATTAACAACTATATTGATGCTCTAAAAAGTTTCAGTGCAGCACAGCATCAGTACCAACTCATTTCAAACACAAGCCAACCACCATAAAAATAAAGTTTGTAGTTTAAGAAAGTCTTACCCCTGATAATATAACATCTCCCGATTCTGTAAGAGCAGCCTCTCTGGAATCCACAAACAGAACTGAATTCTTCATCAGTTCATCATCCAGTTCCCTCCAATCTGGTCTGCTTGCTCCAACAGCTAAGACAACAAAACTGATGAACTTGGGAGGAACATTTAAAACAAATTCAAACCACATTTTGTCCAAAAGATATTTGTGAAGTAATAACAAACTTTATTGTGGAAATGTACTATACAGACAAATTGATGTTAGCACTGGAGACATGTTGATTAATAAAACAACAAAAAAACCCAAAACCAACAGGATGTGCCTAAGCAACTGGGAAAAAGCCTTGATTTCTCTCAACCTGGCCTCAGCTGTAACATTGACATATACATGGCCTTTTTCTATAAGGTGCTAACCCTCTAGATTTCCAGTGATGTCAATGAAGGATGACATTGGGCCCAACCCTCCCAATTACAGCTCATTAAAATGTACAGCATCCTTGACCTGTAGTCATGCAGATGCTGCTGCCAACAAAAGTCTTACATGGGTACTGTTTCCACCTCTTTGATACACTAGTCAAACTGCTCCTTCTAAATAATGCTGACAGAGAAGAGAAGGGGAAGTAGCTCTGCTTAGCCCTTTGTCATCTCACAGGCTTGGCTGCAGTGGCCACGAGATGGTGGAATTCCAGATTCTGAGAGGAGGAAGCAGAACAACAAGTAGGACTGCCACACTGGACTTCAGGAGAGCTAACTTTGGCCTCTTCAGGGACCTACTTGGAAGAATTCCATGGGCTATGGCTCTTGAAGGTAGGGGAGTCCAAGAGAGCTGGCTGCTATTTAAGCAGCTCTTCCTCCGTGCTCAGGATCGGTGCATCCCTGTGAGTAGGAAATCAAGTAAA